TCGTGCATCAGCAGATGCATGACGAACAGATCCAAGGAGGTGATACTTCCCCTCTATCGGGCGCTGGTCAGACTGCAGTTGGAATACTGCGTGCAGTTTTGGGTGCCGCACTTCAAGAGGGATGTGGGTAACCTGGAGAGGGTCCAGAGAAGGGCCACTCATATGGTTAGGGGCTTGCAGGCCAAGCCTTATGAGGAGAGACTGGGGCACCTGGACCTCTTCAGCCTCCGCAAGAGAAGGTTGAGAGGTGACCTTGTGGCTGCCTATAAGTTCATCACGGGGGCACAGAAGGGAATTGGTGAGGTTCTGTTCACCAAGGCGCTCCCGGGGGTTACAAGAAATAATGGCCACAAGCTAGCAGAGAGCAGATTTAGACTGGACATTAGGAAGAACTTCTTCACAGTTCGAGTGGCCAAGGTCTGGAACGGGCTCCCAAGGGAGGTGGTGCTCTCCCCAACCCTGGGGGTCTTCAAGAGGAGGTTAGATAAGCATTTAGCTGGGGTCATCTGAACCCAGACCTACTTGAGATGCACCTGTGGATGCACGATAGGATCTGGTTAGCCCTGCCGACCATGACCTCGCATTGTCATCCCATGTCCATCTTGGAATCAGTGATGACTCCAAGATCCCTTTCTGCTTCCGTGCTCTCAAGAAGGGAGTTTCCCATCTTATAAGTGTGCTGCCGGTTACTACTGCCCACCTGCAGCACCCTGCACTTGTCAATATTGAAATGCATCCTGTTTTTGTTAGCCCACCCCTGCAACCTATCCAGGTCTTTCTGCAGTCTTTCCCTCTCTGCTAACGTGCCCACCTCAACCCATTTCAGTTGATGTAGAAAGTTAAAATTCAAGGGAGTGGAGGAAAAATAATAGTTTCAATGGCATATTTTTTAAGTCTTCCCAGAAGCATTGGGTGTTGGCTACAGCCAAGGCTGGGGACTTTGAGTGAGGTGTGCCAGTGCTCTTGCTAGGAACAAAGCCAAGTGTTCTTGGCTCGAAGGTCTTGCCCCTGCACTCCAGGTCAGACCGATTAGTGTATTTGGGGTCAGGAAGGAATTTTACTTTTTGCCCCATGGTCAAATTGGTATGGACTGAGGTGGGAGTTGCCTCCCTGTGTAGTGAGGATGTGGCCCTCTACCTAGGAACTCAAGCATATATTGACAACAATTTATAGAAGCAGTACATTAGCTGCCATAGTTTCTCTGCTTTAGTTGTGCAGGTTAGGGTCTTAGGTCTTTGTTGCGTCAGGATTGATAGTAGTTTTATGTAGAGTTTAGATTATGGTTTGCAAGGGATGGTTTAGATAGGGATAATCCTGCCTCAGGATGAACTCTGGAGGTCCCTTCCAGCCCAACTTCTCTATGATTTTAAAATCTTTTTTTTTTCTGAGTTATCAACACCAATTTAGAGCATGAAACCTCAAGATTTTAAAATGACTTTTTTTTTTTCTCTTTGTGGTGATTGTTGACTTCAGTGACTCAGGCTGGACAGTAATGTCATCCTGGTTTTAAAAGAAACAAAAATGATTAGAGGTCAAGGAGCTAGGTTAGATTAGGAATGATTAAAGCAACAACAGTTATTAGAGCACATGGAAATGTGACTTGCAAAGAGTGGATGAACTGAGATTCTTTAGTTTGGAGAAGAGTGAGAAAGGATTTGATAATAGTCTTTAAATGCATGAAGAGTGGTTTTAAAGAGCAGGGTGATGAACTGTTCTTCAAGGCCATGGGAGAGAAGACAAAGGAGTAATAATCTTAAGTGGAGGCAAGGGAAAATTAAGTGGGGGTGGGTGTTAGAAAGAACTTCCTAACTGGTTTTAAGAAGCTGGGCAAACAGTCTGCTGTGATAATTTGGGTAG